AACTAAATTGGCGGGGGGTGGGTACCAATAAGGTAGTGAGCTGATGAAAGTTACTTGGTGGTCACAGGAGGTCTCAATCAGCAATAACTACGTTGTAGTGGCCTGGAACTGCCTGGGCAGTGGCAGGCGGTTTGTCTTGGGGTTGGGTCACCTTCCGCAAGATCACGTCAACTTAGTGGGTTGTAGCTTTATACTCCTGGGTGACTATGATGTAGTAAATTCTGAGGCTCATTATTAGGGGTTGCATTAGTCCCTGATAGGTGAGCAACAGAGAAACGGTTGCTTTGTGGTCACCGAGGCAGCAACAGGGTCCGGGCAGACGTTTCAACTCTCTCACGTCGGGCGTTCACGTCGAGCGCGCAATTTGGCAAGGGCTTCCAAGGGGGTGGTGCAAATGTGTGGCGATCCTTGAGCACTGCGCTGTTTACGTTGGGAATTGTGGGATGTACGACGGGTAAGGGATAGGGCATGGCTGCTGGCGGTATGCTTGAGGGTGTCTACGTATGCATTGCGTGCCGTGGTAAGGGAGGTGACCTTGAACCATGCCTGACCAAAGTAAAGCTGATGCTTGGACAGAACTTCCTTCTCGATCTGCCTTACCATTTGTTCAGGAGCCGGGGGAGCAACTAAGAAACCATCATGTAGCCACACCAAAGATTGTGTTGGGTGGCGGGCAATGAGGGCACGAATGCCTCCTAAGTCGCCTTAGTGTGTTATAAGGGTGCAGTGTTGATGTCCCTCCCTTCCAAAGAAAAAACAACCAAACAGCAGCAAACAACAAGGAAAAACACAAAACAAAAAAGAGCAGTCACACGATGTTCCATTAATGTACCTGAGTGCGACTCCAATGCACCTGCCACGTCTATGGACAGATGCACCAGTGGCCAAGAGCAGGAGCAGGGAAGAGCAAAACAGCAAGGGGAGCAAAGGGAGCACCCAAGGCCCGCAGCAACCACAACCAAAGAAAGAGCGAAAGGGAGAAACCCACAAACAACCACGAAAAAGAGGGGGCCAGGTGGGGCACCCACAGGAGGGGGCGCCGGGTCGGCAGAGGGGGACAGGGCGGAGAAGGCTGCACACATCACATTAGAATAGCAAAGGTGCAGCTTAGCGGCGCCTAAGATGGGTCTGGATCATCATAGCGGTGAATACCTCAATTGGATTCAGCTACCGATAGAGAGTACCCAGCCAGAGGACATACCAGGGGAACCCACAGAGGACAAACGAATTACGGCAAGTTAGCAAAGCAGCCCCTCAGAAAGAAGAAATTAAGCCAGCACGAAAGGCAAAAACAAAAGGGAGGACGGTCTTTACGGGTGCAGGCTATACGGCTGTCCTGAACCACCTTAGTGGGTCACAAGAGTGCTGTGTCCGTGTCTCTCCATTTACTGTAGAACCCAACTAAACAAAAAAATAGGGCACCTGACCGTTCATGACAATTGATTGCATCCACAAGAGTTTGCCTGAAAGATGTCTGATCCTTCCAACTCCATCGACTCCAGGGGGACGAAGAGGCGGAGTCCAATGTCAGGCAGCGTGGAGGACGGCAGGTTTGCGATAGCGGCTACTGCACGGCGAATGCCACTATCTTTTACATTAGAAGACGGGGATGATTTGCGCCCAATGGCTGGCTCGGAGTCAGCCCGCGGTTGCCGCAGTGTGTATCCTGTCTTCGGTTCCATGTATTTTCGGTTCCACACTGCGTTGTGAGCGTTGTGAGACCATTGGGGTGCTCTGTGATTTATTTCTACTGAGTCTCTTTTCATGTCGTATTCTCTTAACATTTCGTCGAGCTCTTGAAGGGTTGCAGATCGATGAATACAACATTGCCGGACAAGATGCTTTTTTTTTTGTCGGCGCCCGTTGCCTTTCGGCGGGTCGCACTTGAGACTCCCGAGTGGACCAGCAGGGATTCGAACCACCACCGGCAGTCTGTCAGCGCTGGCAAGACCAACGCCATACCAACTGAGCCATCGGGTCGCCTAACATTGCCGGACAAGATGCTGTTTTGAGATTTTTGAAATTCAGTTTCGCTGAGGTTTTTGAGGTTTTCAGTTGAGTTTTCCTAAAAAAGAGCTAAGGCATCTGAGTGGAAAATAATTTATTGGACGCGGCTTCGGTTGTGGTGTTATTTGAAAGTGTGGGGACACGAATGGAAATCCTGGAGCCAGGAAAAAATTGAATGGTAATATATACCAAAAGCAATCTGGGCCAAAGTTTCAAGACTAGAAATGTCCTTTTGTAAGTTGTGTAGTGGGATGAAGTGCTTTGAAATCATTAGGGTGTAAAGGGAGGCGAAACTAAACCAAGAACATTGACCTGTAGGGAAAGTTATGGCAACCACTGATACCACATTGTTCACCTGTAGCGTAAGCATCAGCCACGCAAAGGCCGGACCATTGTTGCTTGGGCCACATGGTTCGAAGTGGTGGTAAATGGCTTAGCCAAGTCAAATTCATCTTCAAGATGCGGATGGAATCTGTGGACAAGTTGCGTTTGATGGTCTCGGATGCGAAGCCAAACTCTTTGTCCGACAACGAGCACGCGAAAAGATCTGATTTACTCCGCACAGGCTGCTGTCGATTTTTTCCGCCCAACGCCTTCATGGCTTCCGCCAGGTTCAACACGTTCAATTGCATGTTGCAAATTAGGTTTCATGGTTAATTAGCGCTTACACATGGCCATCTGCTGAATTGAGGGACCTCAAGAGTGAACTGGTAAAGGACCTGAGTGCAGTCCAGTAGGTAAGTCGCCACCAAAAAAAGCCAAACACCAAAAGTGGCATACATGAAGCAAATGGCTTGTGTCTCAACCCTACGCCTCGCAAGTTCGTACCTTTGTCCACGGCGCCCAAAGATTGTTTTGCATCAATAAAACTGATACTCTCAGCACCCAATTGAGCAAAACAAAACCGCAGAACTGAGGCGTGACAGGTGCCAGTTCATGGGATAATTCATGCAAGAGATGATAACATTGTATCATCTCGACATGGTATAGCAGCAGAAACAAAGGGAAGAACATCAAAATCACAGGCCATACCTGAAGGCGAGTGAAGCAACAAAAGCACCATGTGGAAACCAGGGATCCCCCCAGCCAGGATCCCCGAGATCACATGGCGAAAGCCGATAAGGCATAAAAACTCACCACCGCACGGGCAGATGTCGAACCTGAATCAGTTGGCCATTGATCGGAATGGCTGAAAAAGCTGGCTGGACTGTATGGAGGTCCCTGTACAAGGAATGCAATCCAAAATGCGCATAGCTGGCCAAATGAGACACCAAAGCCAGTCCAAGAAATTTTTCAAAGAGTATTTTAGAACAATCGAAGGAGGATATGTCAATCAGGCTAAGTAGCTAGTTGTACAGTTCACGAGATTCTCATGTCCTTTTGCTTCTATTTTATTCTCACCTTCAAGACCAGGCATTGAGTTTAATCGGCCAATCCAGAGGAACAAAAAAACTTCAGTCCCGATGCTTCCACAAAAGGATCCCCCGTTATTGTCAGTCCATCACACTCACTGGCAATCAGCAGAGGACGAACCGTCCATTGTTCAAGAGTTGATCGATAAAGAGGTTGCAGAAGGTTGGGTGACTCCGTTTCCAGGCACCCTGGATGAAGCTCAGACCCACTTTCAACATGGTTTAGCCATTGATAAGTTGTAGGTTCGAGAGCAAATCAGGTTGGGTCAAAAGAAAACAATTGATCCAGAGGTGGACCTGAGATTATATAGAGGAATGGGTGAGAGTCTGGATCTTGCACAGCAAAGTTGTTGGAGAATATGCAAAAAATGATGAAGCCAGCGCTAATGTGGAATTCCCATCTAATGCCATATGATTGTTTGGTAAGCCTCTTAGTATCCGGTTCCAACATAGAAGTTGACATTACGCACATTCCAGGTCATGCCAATGACCATGCAGATGCTTTGAGCCGATTGGATGGAAATGGCGATCCGCAAATCATTTCCTCCCCATGACCGCTACCAACTGACACTCAGCCAATTATGGCATCTCGAAACCAAGCCTCGGTAAGCCTCGCCTTTTTCCGCCGGACGTTCAAATTCTGTGGAAACTACCATCCTGACTTCGGATTTTCCATCACTTCGTAGCTGCCAGTGCGATTCCTTCCTTTTTTCCATTGCTGGATAATATCACTTTCAATCAGGGGATTTTCTGGCGTTATTATCCATCAATTGTCAATAGCTTCGCTTTGGGTTGCGTCTGACCAATGACAAAGATGGATCAGTTACTGACCACAACATCTGGCAAGACTATTCAATTATCCAGCAATGAGAAAAAAAGGATAATTTAAAAGGACCGATTCGAATTCGGTGGAAAGGGAGATTTGATTTAAGATGTGAAAGGTTATTTTGGAAACCTTCAACTGTTGATGCGTGTTTGGTTTTTGGTTTGGATGTATATATATATATATATGTATATGTATACTTATTTGCGTTATACTGTTTGCTTGTTATACCTACTTGTATGAGATATAACCTAATGTAATGAATGTCCACCTTGAACGTTAGCTGTACTTGTTCAGTAATGTTTAGTGGGGGTACTTCGTTGTATTGATCTAATATCCCCTAAACATTTTGGCTCAAGGTGGCATTCATTGCATTAGCGTTTGTTGCTTTACAATTTCAAATTTTACCCTCCCACCACACCACTGAATATAGTTTCACAATCGTAGGTTCAGTTTGCCTTTACCTTGCGTTTCCACAGTGACATTCACCTGATGTCACTTCCATGCAGTCGCTTCGGCCTAGATCATCCGTGCCTAGGTCTCTTGCATCCGTCACCGGCAGCACCAGCTGCATTCGAAAAGGGTAGCCAGCCCAAATTTTTTGTTTGAAGTTTCACTACGACATTCCGCTCCGTGCATCTAGATTGCGGTCCTGTGCGGTTCAGCTGACTTTGTTAGCTTCTGCGTGGCTCATTTGGTGATTCACACCGTGACCTTATATGGTTTCCATTGTTTCATTTCGCTGTTTTGCTTGACCAATGCATGATGATTTCACCAAACAGCTCACCGAAAGATTCGCTGGGTTGCGTCTGACCATTGACAAAGATGGATCAGTTACTGACCAGAACATCAGCAATGAGAAAAAAAAGGAATAATTTAAAAGGACCGATTCGAATTCGGTGGAAAGGGAGATTTGATTTAAGATGTGAAAGGTTGAATGCGTTTAGCTTGCTAATAGCTGTTTATAGCTTAGGGTGAAAGCGAACCATGTGAGCGCCCTCCAAACCCAAAAAAAAAGTTTCTGAGAAACTTTACAGTGCGCGTTGCCTAACAATGTTTAATTCGAACTGTTTAAAAAAAAACTGAAACAAACAAACGTGAAACCTCACAGGTGTGCAGGTACATGTGGTACATGTCTCACATGTTGTTTCAGTTTATTTTGTCGTGTGAAATCATCTTTCATTATCTGGTAGGTGATCACTTATGAATTTTATATATGACCGCGCCGCCTCAAGTGAGGAGGGTGGGCGGGTGTGCCCTTTTGATTTCATTGTGTTTGCACCCATGCATGGCGATTAAAGAGCGTGGAGCTACTGCATTCAACCAGAACATCATTCTGGGTTTACCACGGAAATCAAAGTGGATTTCAACACTGGTTTTTACTTGGTGCAGCGGTTTCTTCACTGGCATCAGCTTGATTTTGTGGCTGCTGCTTGGTACATGCATTGCTCTTTAGCTCGGTGGTGTGAGGCCAACACTCAGACATCCTGTCCGTTTGTGTTGCCAATTTGTGGAGTGGTTCAATCTACAATTTTTATTCACCTGGATACCACCGACAGCCATCGGGTGTCTTTGACTTGCTTTTTGCTCTTTGCTGACAGGCGAGATCTCTTTTTGCTGGTGACAGAGATCAGATTAGGACTGGTGTTGTCCTCATTTTCGGTGGCTACCCCACCAGTGGCGGTGTGGAGCCTCCCATCTGTCAGCATCGACGATAGCAGTGATTCCCTTTCTGAAGCGGACTAGGGGATATGTCGACACAATTTCAATTGGGCACTTCATATGACCTTCATTTGAGGAACATCACCACTGTCAATTGTACCTCTCAACGTAAGATGCCATGGGAAATGAATTTGAGTACACCTTGGGAAGTTTGCAAAAGGCTCAGAGGTGAGAAGATTTTAGAGGTGGGAGCCTTACCACCTATCCCTGGAAACGGTACAGTTTTGAACAAGGCGAGTTTTGCAGATTTGGGTGATGCAACAAGTGAGGCTTTCAAAGCAGCTGGAATTGCTCTCAAGTCTTCGAATGACACACGGCTGTGGCAAGAGAAATTGTCTTGGGAGAGAAAGGCTGCATACAAAAAATGGACCTCTCTGATTTCCAAGCAGTTCAACGCTTGGGAGATTTGCAGACAGTTGTGGGCCGGCAATAGTGTGAAGATGGCTCAGGGATGTCTTTTGGAAAGCGTCATGGATGCGCTGGGAAACAAGGCAACGTCAACCATTCATGCAAGGGTTGCCCCATTATTACAGTTGGTACATTTTTGTGAACTGAAGGGATGCAGCTGTTTTCCGTTGACGGAATTCCTGGTTTATGATTTCATGAAAGACAGTGCAAACAGGGCTCCATCGTTTCACAGGTCCTTGTTGTTGTCAATCAGTTTTGCAAACTTTCACTTTGGCTTGGATGGGGCCGACAGTGTGCTTTCATCAGGGCGAGTGCGTGGATGCGCACAAAAACACTATGCCGACAAGCGCAAGCTGGTCCAAAGGCCACCGCTGAGCGTTGAGCAGGTGTTGACCCTGGAGAAGATTGTACTGGACCCTGGACGTACTGATGTGGATCGAATCGGAGCTGGATTCTTTTTGACACTTGTCTATGGGCGCCTAAGATATAGCGATGCCCAACAGGTCTCGAATCTATCTCTGGACATGCCAAACTCGACAAGGTTTTCTTGAAGGCCTGGCTGGCCGCACGAAGACAAGTGTCAGTTTGGAGAGAAAATGCAGATTTCTTCCAATTGCGATCCCCACCATGAGCCTGGGTGACGAGCCTTGGATCCCAACTTGGATGGACTTGAGGGCGAAGCATTTTGGCGACATCAGGGAGAGCGACAGGTACCCGTTGCTGCCGAACCCAGCCATGGGAAACACATGGACCAGAATCCCGCTGGGAGTGGGAGCAGGAAGTCAATGGCTTCGAGCACTTCTGAACGGAGTGCCACATCAGTCGTCGACGCCTCTTGGGACTCACAGTTGCAAGGCCACGGTGCTGAGCTGGGCATCAAAGTGGGGCATGGCGAACGGGCCGAGACGTTTGCTTGGCTACCACTCAGAGGGAAGAGACAAAAGTCTCCTCACATACAGCAGGGATGGCATGGCGGGGCCGCTCAGGCTCATGTGCAGAATGTTGGATGACATCAAGAGCGATACGTTCTTGCCAGATTCGACCCGAAGTGGCAGGTTTCCCAAAGAGGAGCCCAGTTTTGATGACGGACGAGAAGAGGCCAAGTCAGACGCCTCATCGAGTTCGTCTGATGGATCAGACAATGAGTCACAGGTCGATTTTGAGACCGAAGAGGCTGCCATCACAGAAGTGGTGGGAAAGTGGGACCCGAGGTCGGATGACTTGGGGGAGACAGATGCCCGTTTTGCAAGGCACAAGGTCTCGAGATGCATCCACATCATGCAGGATGAGGCTGGGCACAACTTCAAGTGTGGCCGCAGGATGTCAAACACATACCTGTTGATGGAGAACAAGCCAGCCTTCATGCACCCTTTGTGCAGCACTTGCTTCCGACCGGAGGGCACGTGAATGTGTGGTGCTGAGGGATGAAAATGAGTGATGCGTGAACATCTCTGAGAGATGATGTAGTCACATGGGATTGTCATCGGAATGAACCCAATGCAGGGTGTTGTGAATCCGATTTCAATTTGTGCACCCAGTGACATGTACTCATTCAGTGTATCTTGCATGCGTGGTTCAAGTCGATGCCTCAGGACATGTCATGACTGTTGATTTGTGCATTTTTCAATCAGTGTGACAACAGTTTCTTTTCAAAATGCTGTCAAGTGTCAGGATGCTTTCATGGGATTTCATGATATTCATTTCTGTTCTTTCGCACGGTAGGGCCTGGCAATGAGTTTCGGCGATAGTGAAGCCGTCTTCGCACAGAGGGCTAGGGAGATAGGTCTTGATGATGGAGCCGTGAAAGCTCTTACAGATGAAGGTATCAGGACGATGGCACTTTTTGCCTTCAGTTGCAACTTTGCGCCGGGAGCTGCAGATGAGCGTCCTTTCACTGATTTGATCAAGAAACTTTTGCATAGAGACCCTAGCACTTTGGAGTTGTCATGCATGAGGCGATTGTTCAATGAGAGTTACGCCAACATAGCTTCAGACATCAAGGTGAGGTCAGAGGCTACAGACGATACGCCGGTGAGGCGCCTAGCCCCTGCGGAACGTGCCAGCAGGTTGAAAGACCAACAGCAGAGACTTGGAGGTCTGAGCATCACTGGACAGTACGAGCCTGGAGACACCTTAGTGGACAAATGCATCAGCATTTATGACAGTGACAGGTTACAGTATGTGGAATGGTCTGCATCGGTGTCACGTGAACATGAGCTTTTGTCAGGGACGAAGAAGGATGCCTCACTTACTTTTGACTCATCGGGTTCACTCAAGTTGTCAAAGCTTCAAAAGACAGAACCTTGTTCGACAGGAACCGAGATACAGGTGCGCTATTGCTTGGTTAGGCGCGCTTTGGCCTTCGACCAGGCGAACCTGATTGAGTTCAAGTTGTTGGAGGCTTGGAGTGAAAAATTGATGCAGAGCAGATTAGAAGACCCGGCACCAGGCTATGCCAGGATAACCATGAAACAACTTGAGCTTGCTGACAGGAAATTGTTTTGCGTGCTTGCTGAGAAAACCAGAGAAGGTATCAAAACCACCATCAAAGGCAGACCTCTTGACCTGGTGTTCAAGGAATGTTCAGAAAGCTCAGAAGTCCTTGCGTTGTTGCAGCCCAGACAGGGTACAGTCTCGGCGGAAAAGGTGAAGGAGGTGCGTGGCAACTCAGCAGAACCACCCACCAAACGAATCAAACGAGAGACTGGAAAGAAGGGCAAGGGCAAAGGTAACAGCAGTGCTTTTGTGCGTATTCCACACGATCTACTGAAGCTGAACTGTGTTGCAGCTACACCCAAAAACAACAGGATTTGTTTTTCTTACAACTTGAAGAAGTGCGATGCAACTGGACAGAAGTGTTCAAAGGGGTTGCATGTGTGTGCAGTACAGGGATGCTTCAGAGGACACCCAGCTGTGGAATGCCAGAAGTCGTGACTAATACCTTCTGGCTGTCAGTCCCTTGGTAGAGCGTTGGAATCCGACGCAATGGAGACAGCATCCGAGGGCGAGCCAGCAGAGGTCATGCATGATGACACAACGAATTCTTTTTCAGATACACCTGCACAGGAGAATTTTTCAGATGTTGAGAAAATTTGCCACACGGGTACAGAGGCTGACAGACCATATGTCTTCTTGGAATTATGCGCTGGAAGTGCAACCTTGTCTGCAGAGGTTAAGCGTTTGGGAGTTGAGGTGCTGGCCTTTGACCACGAGTCCAACCGACATCAATCAAAGTGCAAGGTCCTTTGTTTGGATCTTAGTTTGCCGCATGCTTTCGAACGCATTGTTGAGCTGGTGACTAAATGCAATGTGTTGGGCGTTCACATGGGGCCGCCCTGCGGCACGTGCAGCAAAGCCAGAGGGATACCTATGCCGGATGGATCGGCGGGACCCCAACCGCTTAGAGATGACAATTATTTGCTGGGTCTTCCAAATCTGGGATTTCGAGACAAACAAAGGGTAACTGCTGCAAATAATTTATATGAGAAGCTTGGTTTGCTGGTGGAGACGCTGGAGCGCCTTCAAATCCCATGGACAATCGAGAACCCCACCAACAGTTTTTTATGGGACCTTCCGTATTTTGCTTTTGCAATGGCCCATGGTACCAAGCATGACTGTCACGCTTGCGCTTTTGGGAGCTCGAGGAAGAAGCTGACTTCCTTCCTTTCGAATCGAGATGAATTTGGAGCATTGTCGAGGTTCTGCCAAGACGTGGCGCCACATGAACATGAAAGCTGGGGCTATGACCATGTCAACAAATGTTTCAACACTGCAAAAGAGGCTGAATATCCAACGATGATGTGCCAACAATATGTAAGGGTGTTGCAGAAATTCCTGGACACAGACCTCCTTCCAGGACAGTCAGTCCGCAGGTTGCCACAATCACAGCCAAAGGGTCGGAAAACGCCCCAGCTGATCCCTGAGTTTTTGGACGTCACAACTTGCATGCTAGAGTCTGTGCCGGCCTTGGACCACAAACGAAATCTGCTGAAAGCCCATGGCCCCATACCTGCAGGCAGTCGGCTGTTGAGAACTGAAGCGGACAAGGGGAGATCAGAGAAAGTTTTGTGCGTTTTTGGGATTTACCGCAGCATGTCGCAATTTGTTGAATGTGCAAGGTCGTTGTGGCACCCCTTTGATGAGTTACGAAACTTGCCTGACAGAATGATCAAAGCACTTTTTAGCAACCTCACTGAGTCCCCTCACCAGTTGACAAAGTTGCGTTGCCAGTTCTTGCGGAAGTGGGCGAGCAGGGCCTCCATCTTACAGAAGGCCGAACTGGAAGTACATGAGCGCATGCCTCAACATGTGCGAAGAGTCATGGAAGGGAAAAGAATCCTTGTCATGGAAGAGTTGGCCAAAGAGATGGGTTGGCCAGACATGCAATTGTTCTCAGAGTTGCGAGAGGGCTTCAAGCTCGTTGGTACCTTCGAAACTACAGGCATTTTCAAGGCTGGTGTGACACTTGCGAACATCAGTGAAGAAGAGCTTGAGAAGAATACAAATTTTTTGCGTCCTGCCATTTTGGGAAGACTGAAGAACTTCGAAGATGCTGAGCTGCAGAAGGAATTGTTTGAAACAACCATGAAAGAAGCAATGGAGAAACACTGGCTGGAAGGACCTTATGAGGTTGAAGAGATACATCGCCAACTAGGTGACAAGTGGCTTCCGGTGAGGAGGTTCGGAATCATGCAGCGTGACAAGCTGCGACCAATCGACAACTTCAAGGAATCGATGCTGAACCTGACCTTCGGATGTTACGAGAAGGTTGAATTGAAAGCGATGGAACACGTGCTGTGGATGTTGGTTACCTTGGCCAGATACATGAGACACTTTGGTGAGATCAAGTTTGTGCTTTGCGATGGGACCCTTTTGGAAGGGCACGTGCATCCTGCGTGGAACAAGGTTGCTTTTGGAATGGAGGCCACGTGTGTGGACATGAAATCTGCCTACAAGCAGTTACCACTGAATCCATGCGAATATCACCGCACCGTGGTCAGCCTGTGGGATGTCAATAACAGAAAGGCAGCTTGCTTTCTAATGCGCACCCTTCCATTCGGTGCCACGGCAAGTGTGCATCACTTTTTACGAGTCAGCAGTTTCATACATGCTGTAGGACTTCATGCTGGTTTGTGCTGGGGAGCGTATTTTGACGACTTCCCAACCCTGTGCAACGTAGCCAACAGGCGCAGCACCCAGTCCACCGCATTGGGTATTTTCGAGTTGCTGGGCTTCAAGTACAATGACGAAAAACTGGACCCCTTTGACAAAGTGGCATCAATGTTGGGGGTGGAGCTTGACCTTCGAGAGATAGACAATGGCTTGATCAAGGTTCAGAACAAACCTGCGAGAGTCACAGAAGTGTCGGAGTGCTTGAATAGGATTTTAGACAGTGGGGTTATTGAAGCTGACTCACTGCCTTCCTATCTGGGGAAGCTACAATTTGCAGAAGCTCAGCTGTGGGGTCGTGCGGGTAGAATCGCTCTTGCAGACCTGAGAGAAGCTACGCTACATAAAACCGGAGCCTTCGCAGTCACAGAAGAAGCAAAGGAAGCCATTGAAGTTTTGTTGGAAAGATTCACAACTGGACGACCGAGAGAATTGAAAGCCTCGGTGCCTTGCAGACCACATTTGCTGTTCACTGATGGAGCACTGGAATACGACGAATTTGGAAACCCTAGTGCCAGCATAGGTGGTGTTTTGATTTGCCGAGACGGAAGAGTTTTGTGTTTTGGATGTGACGTGCCGCAACAGTTGATGGACTTGTGGCAGGTCAGTGGCAGGACCCATGTTATAGGCTTGGTGGAGCTGTACGCTGCTGTGACTGGCTTACATACTTGGAGAGAGATTTTCAAAGATGATAGAGTCATTTTGTTTACAGACTCCTGGCCTGCTTACGATGCTGTGGTCAAGGGCACGGCTGGAGTTAAAGAATGGCGGCAGCTATTGCTTGTTTTGGAAAAGACGGACGAGAGCCACCCCATGCACTTGTGGACCGCCAGAGTCCCATCGACCTCCAATCCAGCTGATCCTCCCAGCAGAAGGAACATTTCCGATTTAGCTTTCCTTGGAGACATAACCATAATAGATGCCGAATGCCCTGTGGTGAATACTTTCTTGAGATCTTACGAAATGGTGTAGCTGAAGCAGACGAGGGGAAATGTGAAAGAATCCAAATGTTGGAGCTATGCAACATGTCACAAAGTGACTGTGGAACACATTCACATGTGGTGGTGTGTATGCGATGTATGTTGCGTTTGATATCCCCCTTGACTGCCAAGCGGAAAAAGAACAGCTGAGAACTCATGACGGCATGTGCAATTTTATTTTTGAGATTTGTGAACCGTGAGGGAGAGAGGAGTGTCGTGTCGGTCGTCGTGTTTATGTTTTGGTTTACATAGGTTTTATTATGTGGACGTGTACTCCCATATACCATGTTTATGTTTGGCGTATATGTTTATGATACATATGCGTAGGCCGCGCACGTTGTGTAGGAGGGTCACCCTGTAGCTATAAGAATGCGTTTAGCTTGCTAATAGCTGTTTATAGCTTAGGGTGAAAGCGAACCATGTGAGCGCCCTCCAAACCCCCCCCCAAAAAAAAGTTTCTGAGAAACTTTACAGTGCGCGTTGCCTAACAATGTTTAATTCGAACTGTTAAAAAAAAACTGAAACAAACAAACGTGAAACCTCACAGGTGTGCAGGTACATGTGGTACATGTCTCACATGTTGTTTCAGTTTATTTTGTCGTGTGAACGGCGATTGGCCGAACCCCACTTTTGAGTGATTCTTCTTGAACGGCGATTGGCCTGAACCCCACTGTTCAGTGATTCTTCTTGAACGGGGATTGGCCGAACCCCATTGTTGAGTGATTCTTCTTGAACGGCGATTGGCCCGAACCCCACTGTTGAGGGATTCTTCTTGAACGGGGATTGGCCCGAACCCCACTGTTGAGTGATTCTTCTTGAACGGTGATTGGCCGAACCCCACTGTTGAGTGATTCTTCTTGAACGGGGATTGGCCCGAACCCCACTGTTGAGGGATTCTTCTTGAACGGCGATTGGCCCGAACGCCACTGTTGAGTGATTCTTCTTGAACGGGGATTGGCCCGAACCCCACTGTTGAGTGATTCTTCTTGAACGGGGATTGGCCCGAACCCCACTGTTGAGTGATTCTTCTTGAACGGGCATCCTAGGCAATGAGTGAAATCTACTCAATTAGGTAGTAGGGAAAAACCTAACCCCCTTGTTGAGTGATTCGCGTTGAACGGGTCAACAAGGGAGTGAGGAAAAACCTAACTCCCTTGTTGAGTAATTCTTGTTGAATAGGTGACATCAATTGGAACACAAAGGGCCCAACAAGGGAGTGAGATAAAACGTAACTACCCTCTTGAGTGATTCAACTTGAATCACTCAAGAAGGGAGTTGGGTTTTTCCTAACTCCCTTATTGAGTGGATTTGTGTTTAGCCAAGATTCCACCGCCAATCGAAGCTGATGGCTGATCCAATCCAGCTGCGGAATCATGTGGGGACAATTCCTCCCCTAAATGCAAAACATCACCATCAGCGCCAAACAGGCAATAGAAGGGAGTGGAGATGGAAGAAAATGGCGAGTCCATGTAACCACACTTAATCGTGACATTATAGTGTCTCCATTTCCCACCAACAAAAAATGATAAACAATTTGAAAAAACATACTTAGACAAGTAGATTACTGCTTTCATAAAAGTGAGCATGTACATGCCCACAGTAATGGTAGCATCAAGCTGCGGAATGAATCTGAACATATCTGAGCCCAAGGGCCCCAACAAAGATGTTGGTATATGGAGTCCGTAGCCTGATGTTAAATGGTTTTGAATGCCATTTAAAGTAAATTACACCTTCAGTATTTGAATGTGTTGAACAAAGTACGTTTCATTTAGTTACATGGGATCAACATGCGAGACAATAGTTTAGGCTTGTAATAAACGGCATTGAACTTTATTTGAACAAATTACGCGCTCCGGAGCGCGTAATTGACTTTAGTATTTAAATGTATTGAATAAAGTACATGTTTCTTAAATTGGGTCCAATAATATAGGCCCTATAGGCTGGTACTAGATGGCTTTGAACTTTATTTGAACAAATTACGCGCTCCGGAGCGCGTAATTATTACGCGCTCCGGAGCGTGTAATTGACTTCAGTATTTACATGTATTGAATAAATAGTACATTTTCTTACAGTGGGTCAATATACGAAACAATACTATAGGCTGGTACTAAATGGCTTTGAACAAATTACGCGCTCCGGAGCGCGTAATTGACTTCAGTAGTTACATGTGTTGAAAAAAGTGCGTTTCATTTAATTACATGGGATCCGCATACGAGACAATAGCTTAGGCTGGTACTAAATGGCTTTGAACTTTATTTGAATGGATTACGCGCTCCGGAGCGCGTCATTGTTACGCGCTCCGGAGCGCATCATTATTACGCGCTCCGGAGCGCGTAATTGACTTCAGTATTTACATGTGTTGAAGAAAGTACGTTTCATTTAATTACATGGGATCACCAATACGAGACAATAGTCTAGTCTGGTACTAAATGGCTTTGAACTTTGTTTGAGTGGATTACGCGCTCCGGGGCGCGTAATTATTACGCGCTCCGGAGCGCGTAATTGACTTCAGTATTATTTACATTTGTTGAAGAAAGTGCGTTTCATTTAATTACATGGGATCACCATACGAGACAATATAGTTTAGACTGCTACTAAATGGCTTTGATCTTGATTTGAATGGATTACGCGCTCCGGAGCGCGTCATTATTACGCGCTCCGGAGCGCGTAATTGACTTCAGTAGTTACATGTGTTGAAAAAAGTGCGTTTCATTTAAATACATGGGATCAGCATACGAGGCAATAGCTTAGGCTGGTACTAAATGGCTTTGAACTTTATTTGAATGGATTACGCGCTCCGGAGCGCGTCATTGTTACGCGCTCCGGAGTGCGTCATTATTACGCGCTCTGGAGCGCGTAATTGACTTCAATATTTAAATGTGTTGAAAAAAGTGCGTTTCATTGGGTCACTATACAAGACAATAGTTTAGGCTGCTACAGAAAAATTGAACTAAATTCCAACAGTTAAAAGTGATTTTCTGAACGATATCAAATGGAGCTTTTGGACGACCCTGCTGAAGGCCATCATAAAAACCACAACTTGCAGTGCTGATGTCGCTCGTTCCAATGCACGCTCGGCAGCCACCGCAGCACGTGTTGCCGCTTCGGCCATTGATTTAATTCCTTGCAAAAAGGTTGCTTCGGTTCTTGTAGGGTCGTCCATAGGTCTTCATTGACAAAGCCACACAAAAAAGAAATTGCAAGCAATTGTCGTTGAGTCTGCATTGCTGATTTTTTCCTTTTCGTTTCCTGTAAATTCTGCGCTGGTCTCCATTGAATTGGTTCAAGTGGCTTGAGGTTGTTGCCTGCCAGAAAATGCCACAGAAAGTAGGCTGTGTTCCACACAACTGCCTTGAATATGGAGAAGCCATCAATTGCTGCACGGCCGATCATTGAAACCGCCCGAGTGTGCTTGGAGAAAATCGTTCAAAAAAGAAAAATCCAAATCCAAACTAAATGGGGATGTCAACCCACTTGGGGGTTCCATCGGAGAGTCACGCCAAGCAGACCGCATGCTCTGTCATGAGTCATGATGGTTTGCTGGGACCAAGCGCGATTTTGCAAGGAGCACGCGTGACGTGACAAAATTAAAAAGGTGGCATGTGTTTGAACTGCCACCTGACGTGTGCAAAAATAAATACGTTTGTTTGGTGGAAAAAAAAGGTGGCTTAGCGTACCCGATGGGTAGCCAAAATGCGGAGGAATCGACGAGGAGGCGACAATAGCCCGCAGCGACAAATTCAAGGCATGCCCACTCTTCACTGCGGTGAACATCAGGCAATGCGCTCACGTTGCGACTTGACACACCCCGAGTGCCCTTGAAGGTGATCATGCTGAAGGAAACTAATGCACCAAATTTTGCCCCTGCCATGGGCACTCAAGTTTCACCAAAGCTACTTTTTGCCATGCATGGCGATACTTTGGAAGGCCGCGCCGACACTATGAAGCACACAATGGCAATGTGTTTGTTCATTTGGGTTCAATATTTTTTGCCGAAATCGGGAAAAAAAACTAGCTTGAAAACATAAACCATAAGGTAGGACTCCATCACTACAATCCCATATTGGCGATGATTTCGGAATAAAAATGTTTATAGCGTTGGAATCGTTCGACGTTCTAGAGGCCTTTTAGAATGCGTTTGCGACAAAAACATGCGCTAGACGCTCACCACGTCTTCCGTTTGGTAGCAATGCCGGTGGCCATACTTCTCTGGCATGCGTACTATGTGGTGAATTGTCTGGCGACATTTAAGCATTTTATTCTACAGGTGCAGGCGTGGTGACACACCCGACATAAGTTGCAAGTGGACAACAACCTGTTGCCTCCGCGTTGTCAACTCTCTGTTCATGAATCGGTTTTGCCACGCTTTGTTTGCATGAAACACCACACATGATGTTCAAAAAGTTAAACGACAATTGGCCTGCAAAGTTGTTTCCAACCTGCAGGCCTTGACTGTTGTATAAATATAAACCCTCATGTCGGAACCCGAATTCATGCCGCGTGCTGGCATCAACCCCGCTCCACATTGCAAAAATTGATGCCAATAATTATGTTGGAATCCATGCTGTGCATTTTATTTTTTTTCCATGTGGTTACCCCAATGGGCACAAAATTTTGTGAGTGTTACACTTCGGTGTTCAAAGCGTCACTGGTTTCGTTTACTTTCAACAAGTTCCAGTGTGAAAATGGCAGGGTTTCCTCCCCGCAACAGTTCGGGAACCGTTGTGGTCCCTTCTGGTTTTTTCGGCCCGCCCGGCACATTTTTGAACGGGACCAATTCTTGATCGTCCACACCCTCCATTCTGTTCCTTACAAACCAGCTACCATTTAGACCCCAAAACCACATCAATCACGCGTCGAAGGTTGGGGATGTGGAACGCACAGTCTTAAGCAAGCATGTCCTAAGCAAGCATGTTGCTACCATTTTTCACAATTCTACGCTTATTATATTTTTTCCCGCTGCCAAGGCACGAGCAAGGAATACGCACTTCGCGTTACGTTAAATGTCACGACACATTTCCATGGACAAGTGCCCGTTTGGCACCTCCAAAAAAAATCAAACACTAGGCAAAGTGAAACAAGGGGGAAGCAATCAAGAAAAAAACGTAAACAGACACGCAACAACTGGTGAAACGGAACGGGGTAACAGAATGTGTTCGGTCAATTTATTTTGTTTGTCACGTATTTTTTTTTGAATACACCACGTCAATTGAGGGAACAAATTATGTGCGTCATTAAGTTGTTTTTCATTGGCTCTGCGGTAAATTTTATCATTTGTATTCCTCCGGTTGGTGATAATGCTGTTTATGCTAAGAATTTTCCTTCGGTTTATTGCATTGTTGTTGAAAAATGTATATATGTTTCACGCGTTCCATCTCTCGTAGACAAATATGCACAAACAAAAACTCACAAGGTTTTCGGCCGAGATGGCAAAACAGAGGAAATTGGTTGAAACAATGAAGACACTTGGAGGTGAAAGAAGCAAGCGAGAAAACAGGTATGGTGCAATTCACCCCTGCTGACTGCATGGCTGGCAGAACAAGAAACGTGAGGTCCATATTACGAGGTAGCCGGGACGGATGCATACTACACTGTGCCGGCGACAGGGCCAAAGGCTCAACTATACATTGGGTCGCGACAAAAAAACGGCCAAACGTCCAGAAAAACGCGAATGGTATCACAGCAGCACAGCGACTTTCCCGGATTGTAAATGTGAGGAAAAATTATATGGACAATCACAGCGCCGGCAGAAGGTTGTCCGAGCAAAACACACACTCAACTCCTGGTAAGGGTAGGGGAGGTTGAGGGTGGCAGCCGGGCTGCCGCCGACCCAGGTGGCAGATGCGTGGACAATGCGTTTCAAAACGTTCATTCCCGCTGGGTCTTTGGTTCCGCATTGTATACTGTACGTGCAAAATGTGGGCGCATTGTACGTCCAGGTTGCACTATGTTGCGTTTGTAAAACGCATACGTACACACAGAGACAGCACATACTGCACACATATGGGCGCACCAACTGCACACATATGGATGCAAAGCAGACACTGCACGCATGTGTATGCGCACACTCCACATATATGTATGCACCGAAAGAATACATGTGTATGCACACATACACCCCACATTGCATGTATGCCTTACAAGTTTTGTAATAACATTAGTTGACACCGATTTTTATGCAAGAGCCTTTCTGTGGACACTAGACCCTGCCCAGTGTTCACCACAAAAATCGTTTAGCACACATTCTTGTGTAATGCGATGTTGCGGACACTGGTCCATACAGCGCGTACAATGTCTGCGCATACACTGAATAATATGTGGGCGATACCAAAAATATGTGTGTGTGTGTGTACACACAGTGCCCGCATACATGGCGTGCACTGTGCATTTTGTGCGCGACGTCTGTGCTCACAGCATGCATATAGCATATACATATATTGTGTCTGACATAAATGTATATCCAAGCAATATATGCGATGAGTTTGCATGAGCCAGACAATTCAATCTCCGGACGTATACTAAGTTAGATTTGCAGCTGGTGGGCATATCGCCTCGGCGATCCTTAATGATGAGCGAAATGATGGCGTTTTAAAACACTCCTGATCTATGAACTGTCGACACGTCATTCACTGGTTTGAAGTTTGTTCTTCTCAGTGACATAGCATTATCATATTGCGAAAGCTAAAAATTATGCCAAATGATTCTTAAATTGGTATCATTGGAACGCTATTTGGCCCAAATTGATTCTTGATTTGAGGTCGTTGAGAAAAATATGTACGACAACGAGGTTGTCGACACCAGTAAAGCAATCGTGTTTGCCCGCCTGGGCCGTATTTGCCAAATATTTCGCCAGATTGGTTGTGATACCAAAAGTAAATCCAATGGTCAAAGTTTCGTGCAAAGCATCCCGTTTGACTTGATCAAACGCCTGCCATGAATCCAAAATTAATTGATTTAAAAAAAAAAATGATTCAATTGCCCGCCGTGCGGTGAAAAAATCGCTCGCCCAAATTCCAGCCCACTGTTGTTAATTGTAGTTCCTAGTTTTTTTTGGTGTGTTTTTGTTCCTTGCATGGTTCGGGTTTCAAGAGTTTCCGCCACTGTGAGTTGGTCAGCGTTTGCAAATAGTTCATTTGGCACAATGTGATGTTTAGCATGGAACCAGGGAGACTGTGGTTTGGGACCCGTAAATTGCAACCAGCATTTTATAAACACAATAAGCGTTGGGCAAGGACGGAAGTTAACCCTAAAAATAAATATGTACTAGTATCGTACCTTACATCCTTTCAAAACCCTTCCAACTATAATTAAAACCGGGCGAATTATACATCGCACAGCCCACGCTGAACTACGAATTAGCTACTCTTCGACCCTCGCAAGTATATTTTTTCAAAAACGTCAATCATATATAAACATATCATGTATCAAAAATAAAAACCCCAACTGAAACACAAATGTAAACATGCAGCACACAACAATGGGAGTTTCATTTCATCTTGAATGCAACGGAGATGGTTTCTAAATGTTTGATCCCTTTCCTTATGATTATTATCAACAATCGGTGTTCCCAAGATCATTTTAAAATCGTGCGCTCACGTCAATTTTCCGGTGTGATTTTCCGGGTTTGGGTGGGTTGGACATTTTGGTCTCCAACCCTCTTGATCCACTTCCAAGCATACAACAAAGAATTGAATCCCGCGGTTCCCTCTTGGAATAAAAATTATAAAATTGTTACCAAAAGATTCGCAAAACATTTGCAGATGTTTACACACATTTGCATTAACCCTCAAACCGAGAAAGCAACTGAGAATAGCTGACGGCAAATGTTTGTTTTGGATTCATTTTTTCCCAATCCGAGTTTAGGGTACAACTTTGAGTTTGGAACAACTTCCAAGTGTGCTGACAATAAAAATTAAACAGAAACCCAATAACTAAGAAGACCGGTCGCGTAAGACTACCAAGACGACGCCAGACAGCACACAACCCAAAAGGAGAAACACCGCGTGATTTGACCGCCGGCATGACAACTGGCCTATAGATTCACGGTGGGAGAACGGTTGTTTTCACGCATGAAGCGACAACCCCTTGCACTTGCTTACCACAAACAATGGTATGCTGACAGTGAAACATTGCTACTGGCCACGGGAAGTTGGGATGCGTCTCGGTTGTCGGTTCAAGTCGTCGACTTCCCTTGAAGCCAAACCTGATTTGCACACAAGTTGCGTGGTAACAAAGAAAGTTTACGTTGTTTTTACATTGTTGTAATTTCAGTTCAAATATTTGGTCCGGGTGGCACCCTGCTACTCACCAGCGGTACGTTTTTCACAAATTATTTCCAGCTGTGATCTGGCCACCTGCTGCTGTTGATTTAGGTTCGTCCGAGGCATGATATGTGCGTTCCGGGCCTGAAGTTAAATTAGCAAAAAAAATGATTTAATGGACATTGGGATTCTAAGTCGTGAAGTTGTCCAATTCAACACATGCCGGTCCCCATTCGGTGGAAAATTGCATCCGATACTATGATTGCAATGAGCAAATGTTTCAAAGACTTCGAGGCGTCCCTGTCATGTTATGCTG